TAACAGCATTGATAATAATATTTTAATTTCAATTTAGGCTTTATAGGTGTGTCTGTCTGTATCTCTCCCTTCATTATCATTCAGGGGAGCCGAGATGCAGTCAGCCATTAGCATCTTACTGCTTGCAGGTAAAAAGTTCTGTTTCTTATTTCGAAATGAAAATAGAATAAAAATGGCAGCAAAATCTTAATGATATGATAATTAAAATGATATTGGTAACGTATTGATTATATAAGGGTTGGTTAAAAAATTTCAACATTTTCACGAGCGTACAAAGTGCACGCTAGGGTAAGGGGGTTAAACCCGTACGTACGCTTTTTAAATTCCTTGAGGATGTTGATGTCAGATCGCATCGAGTGTTTAGTATCTGTGGCTGAATACCGCTTTCCCGATGTCGCCTCACCTTCGCAACTCCATGTATTCTTGATTTTATAAATGGTCCATAAATTAATTCGTGTTGAAAGTTGGTGTAATTAATAGTTGGTATGAAATATTTTTTCAGACTTGCTTGGTCCTGATACTTGTCTCAATTGGGAATGATCCTCATACTTCTTCCATGTGGATATGGTCCCTTATTAAGAAAATTATCCTCTATCAAGCGTTTATGGGTTAGCATGACCATCAGAAACATTTTCGCAGACGACCCTGCTTGCTCAAGGCCACGTCTGGCATGAATATTTTCAGTTGTACAGTTTTAGGGGAAGGGGGGGGGGGGGCTCAGTAAGAAAAGAATGCTCTTTGTGCGCTTGTAAAAATGTAAATGTTGAACCATCCCTGAATAACGATGGTGAAAAATACCGGTGATAATATTATTTATGATGATGCTATTTACTTATATTGTTGTTACTACGACTATATTTACTATTACTACTACTACTGCTGTTAAAACTAGTACTGTTACCAATATTTATGAAGATGAAAAGCATAATAGCCGCAGCAAGTGTAATATATATTTATTTTAAATTTAATCTCATTTCATTTTTTTTTTTTTTTTTTTTTACTAGATTTTGATAGCTGCAAGTAAAGAAAAACAAGAAGAAAATGAAAGTAAAGTATGAAAGTGCATAGAGCAATGTGTTGGTAAATTTTTTTTTTTTTTTTTTTTTTTTTTTTTACATTTATTATAAGCTCATGAATGATTTGCGTCCAGCATTAATCTACATGTCTCCAGTAACGGAAAATAGATATCACGATATTCCTACAGTTTACATCTAGCGCAAGCTCATTGCTTACTCAATTAGTCAAGCCATATTTTCCCCCTTTTATGCCACTGTTCAGAACATTTTGGTGTACAAAAATTATGGGATCAATAGTTCTGGAAATATATTTGAAAGGTGTGTCACACTCTCTGGCACTGCAGAATGCTGTATATCAAGGAGGGTTTTATCAAGTGTCTTCCTCCACAGCCTGTGTGTTCGCGGAGCACTCTTGGCTCCGGAGTCATAGCGTGCGTCCGGTAAAAGCCGTTGGTGAGCTCATGTTTATCCTTTTAGAATTCAAGACTTGGATATATTGCAGATTACGACTCCAGCCACACGACGGCCTTCGAGTCCATATGCACTCCCACATAATGAAGCCTTCCGTTGCAGCTTGCAATTCTCCTTACATCGAGATCGGTGGCCGCTGCCTCATGGTTGACTCCGTGACGAAAGGAACCTGGGCTGACATGCGGGGTATATGTCAGCTGCTCAACGGCGACCTGGTGAAGATCGATTCCTTGGAAATCATGAGCGCCATCGTGGAGTACATCAAAAACAGCGGTTTGTACTGGTATTTTCGTCAGGATTTGGTGTCCTAATGAAAGCTTGACATTAAAAACTATAATCGAAGGATAGAATCGCAAATGCGGATGTTTGTAAACGTTTAGACAGATAGCTGGGTACAGAACTGATGAAGTGAAAGAATTAAGATCACCGACTGAAGTAGATGGATGAGAAAAATACCGCTAAGTGTAGATAAAAGGGACGTAGACTACCAAGAGGCAACTACAAGATAGCCCGGGGTGGGGGTGTATATAGAAGGTGTGAGAGAGCACGCGCGCGCGCATTAGAATTTTTAACACCTGATTTTATACAGCTGTCTACATGTACAGAAAAAAAATCCAGGGTGTTTTGAATGGAAATACACTTACTGCAAATACTTATCTTATATCAGTATAACCATATCTATAAAGTTGCTGAAATTGTTGCATTTTTCTGTGTATAATATATCTGTATGTTATTAGCATTCTACTGAGATAAACAGCCAAATAAGTGAATGTGCAGATATAAATACAGTATATCCAAACACACACACACAGATATATATATATATATATATATATATATATATATATATATATATATATATATGTGTGGTGTGTGTGTGTGTGTGTGTGTGTGTGTGTGTGTGTACGTATATATATATATATATATATATATATATATATATATATATATATATATATATATATATATATATATATATATATATATATATATATACATATTTATATATATGT